TTTAGCTTTAAAAATTATTTTAATTTTTAAATGGCTGATCTCTACTAAAATTATTACTCTTCTATATAAGGATTCTTAAACACTTATCCTAAAATTGACTACATATAAAATCAATTCAACAAATATATAAGATTTAATATATAATCGATTCAAATAATTTAATTCTCATTTAATATTAATTTAATTCTTAGTGAATGTACCTTAAATTATAATCTTTTGAATTGAGTTAAGAGGTAATTTAGAATTGACTTAGGAAAAAACTGGTATTAAAATTACAAAAAAAATGAAAGGCTTAATCAATTATAATAATCATTGATAAAAGTAAAAAAGAAAAAGAAAGATGAAAAGAAAAAAAAGGAAAATAAAAAAAATTCAAGTTTTAAACAAAAATATTTAGAAGCTTTAGAGGAGAAGCATGCAGTTAAGCTTCAATTCAAAATTGGCACCTAACTTCTCAAAGTCAAAGATTAAAAGGAAAAACTCGTTAATTCTAAATTCAGAATATTTTATTTAAGAAGATATTTTATTTTAGAAAAGGAGAATTTCAGCTTTTCTGGATAACATGTATTCCTTCATCTTATTTTCTTTTTTGTATCAGAGATTCTTCCGGGAAAAGGACCATCGCATTGCAAACAAGTAAGCTTCGAACCCTAGATCTTTGATTCTTCCTTTTAATGGACGAATCAACTATAGCTGATTCACAATTTTCAACACTGCTGATACCCAATACCATTATCACTCTAAAGTTCTTACTCTCTCATCGCAAACAATTCAATCAAAACCTTATAAAACAGGGAATTATCATGTGTAGCGTGCACAAATTCTTAAAATCTTTATTCTATATGACAAATGGATTTGTCGTGTTCTTGGATGGGAGCTGTCCATGTCCTTCACCTACAGATAATTGGTTTCATATGTGGAATTTAATTGATCAGAATCTGGCTGCATCACTGTATTCCACCATTTCAGCTACAGTTCTATCTCACATCCTCAATCTACCCACCACCTCTGCTATACGAACAACATTGGAGCGCAAACTACAACCTACCAACTAATCTAAAGTGATCTAATTGAAAAATGAACAACAACATGTTTCAATGAAGGACTGCATAATGGTACAATATTTAATAGAAATCTACACATTGGTGGGTCAAATTACAACAACAGGTTCAAATCTAGATAAAAAGGATGTAATCTTATATGCCCTCAATGGTCTTCCAACATCATACAATGCATTTAAGACAACAATTCGAACTAAGCTTCAGTCCATATCTGTTGATGACTTATATTCTCTTCAGTGTAGTGAAGGGATTAACATCCAAAATGAAAATGCCAAGGTTTCCTCTACCGAAGCTTAGATGGCTCTGAAGGCATAACATGCAAAAGCCAACATCTATAACAGAGGTAGAAGCAAGAAAAAAGGTTCGAACTATAGAGGTAGCTCAAGGACAGGATCTAGGGGTGGCCGACAATCTACTCGCTCCAACACAGTTTGTCAAATCTATAACAAGGTAGGTCACTCAGCGGCTATTTGTTGGCACATGACAAATCTCGAATACACTCTTACGACTCAACCACAAGCTCTTCAAAATCTACATCCAAGGAGTGGTTATTGGATTCTGGAGTAATGAGCACTTCAATTCAGACATTAATCATCTGCAACAACCTATGGTATACAAAGGAGTCGAATAAGTAACAGCCAGCAATGGACAAACTATTTCAATTGAGCAAAAAGGTGATGTGATACTTCCAACCCTAAATCATAAGCTAAAATTATCTCACATACACCAAACTCCATTGTTATCTCACAACTTGCTTTCCATTCATAAATTAACCAACGATAACAACATCGTTGTGTCATTTGATTCTTCTGGCTTTTCAATTTATGATCCACGGACTCAAAATGTGCTTATCCAAGGTACCAGTTCTAAAGTTCTCTACTCAATTCACTCATCTGCACACTATCAAAAGCCTTTACTACATCTCTTTCCAAAGTGCAATATATTGAATTGTAGCACCGACTATGACATCATCTCCACCATCTCCAACACAAATATTCATCTACACCAATTTTTTTTCAGCATTTGCAACATTAGTAAGAGTCATAAACAACCTTTTTTTACCTCATGTAGGACAAAAATACAAGTTATTAGAACTTATTAATAGCGATGTATGGGGACCATCCCCATCTCTTATCAAGGTTATAAATATTATATTTCATTTGTTGATGACTATTCTAATTTATGTTGGGTTTTTCTCATGCAAAATAAATCCGAAACAACATCAATAGCCAAAAACTTCATTCACCTCCTCCAACATCAATTTAATACAAAAATCAAACTTCTACGTTGGACGGTGGAGGAGAATACAAAAATCATAACCTTAATCAATATCTTAGCCAAAATGCCATAATTCACCAATATTCATGTTGAACATAATGGGTTTGTGGAAAGGAAGTATCACAATATTATCGAAATGATTCGTGCTCGCAAGTCCCTTACAAATTATGGTCTAATAGCCTCCTTACGGTAGTGCATCTCATAAATTGCACGCTACTAGAAACACTCACTACAGATCTCTGTATGGACATCTTCACAAATCTCCACCAAACTACACTCATATTCATGTTTTTGGATATGCTTGTTATCCATGGAAACAACTTCAAACCTCACATAAATTTGAAAAGAGATCCACTCAATGTATTTTTGCTCTCTCCAACATAAGGACTACAAATGTTTAAATCCCACCAACAACAAAATCATAGTCTCTCGACATGTATTTGATGAATACACCTTTCCATTCCTTCAAAAATCAACACTTCCTGTCACAAAACAACAACCTAACTATTCTTTTATTCCTCCATGGCTACTTACTACCACCACATATCCATAAACCATTCAACCCCTTCCATTTATATCTCAACTGCCCACTTCAACTACACCTATACCGCCCACAACCTCAACTTCACCATCCTCATCAGATGACCACTAGATACAGCACGAGAAACATATGCTCTCCAAAGACAGACTACATGGATCATAGTTCCACTCCCAAACAATCAGCCTATTTTAGGTTGTTGGTGGACATATACTACCAAACACAATTCAATGGGCACAATCACTAGATACAAGGCATGCCTTGTAGCTCAAGGACATCAAAGAGAATTTGGTGTCAACTATCACAAATCCTTCAGTCTGGCGGCTAAGTTCTCTACCATTCGCATTCTTATTACGGTTGCACTTCATCATCAATGAAGCATACTTCAATTTGATATCTCCAATGCTTTCCTCCATGGGACTTTGAATGAGAATGTATACATGAAACAACCATCAGAGTTTCATGACCCCCAATTTCCCAATCATGTTTGCCTATTTAGAAAGTCACTATATGGATTAAAAGCTCCAGATATACTTATCACCGGAAATAATCCTATTGATATCTCCCAACTCACTGATCGTATGGCACTCAAGTTTCAACTGAAAAATCTTGGACCCATCAGCTTCTTCCTTGCATTGAAGTTCTGAAATTAGCTACATCGTACTTCTTAAGTCAGGAAAGATGTGTTATGCAACTCCTTAAAACTGCTGGATTACAGAATTGTAAAGATTTGGTAGCCCCAATACCGAGTAAACAGCTTGCTCGACAATTGCAAGACATTCCTTTACATAACCCTACCTTATAAAAACAACTTATAGGATCCCTACAGTGCATTACAGTTATAAGGAAGGACCTTTTTTATGTTATAAAATGATTATGTCACATTATTAACAATTAATTCATTTACTTTGATATCTACAAGGTATAAGTCACTTTGGTTTGGAAATTAAACCGCAAGACCTCACTCTAAGAACCTATACCGATGCCAATTAAGCTGAAGATCACTTGGATCGCAAATCCACCACAATTTTATGCTCATTTCTAGTGACTACTCCCATACCATGAATGGCCTAGAAGCAATCAAATGTTGCACAATCCTCCACAGAGGCCAAGTATCGTGCACTAGAGGAATTTGGCATCAAACCTATGCAACTTATAACAATGCACTGTGACAACATCTCTACTATCTCTCTAACAAACAACTCAATGTTTAATGCTAGGACCTAACATATTGAGATAGATTATCATTTTATAAGGGAACATATCAACTCCAAACAAATTCAGAAAAAAAATATACTCAATCTCAAAATCAACTGGCCGATATACTTACCAAAGCTCTCTCAAAACGCCGCTTCAGTCAACTTCGCAACAAACTTCAAGTTCTTCTAAGAACCATCAGCTCGCAGGAGGGTATAATCAGTAACAATGCCGAGCTTCACCAAGCTCACCTGTGATCACTTGAACATATTTTATTAGTCCATAACTACCTAAGGCTTCTCTAGAATCTTCATCAGTCTTCCTTTATCAATTATATATACCTGTAAAAGTTTACTGTTCATTAAGGAATGGGATTTCGAATGAAACCAGAAAAGGAGAATTTCAGCTTCTTTGGATAACATGTATTCCTTCATCTTATTGTCTATTTCGTTAACATGACTTTCCCCTGTCCTCTCAGTTTTTCCCCGCATTCCGTCTCTTCCCCGACATAAATGCGAACTTACTAAATCCGGTGAGAGGCGGATTTATTCCACCAGCACTTGCGAACTCCATCATCAAAAATAAATCTGAAATTATAAGATTTGATAAATCCTGCTTAAGGTAAATTTAAGTTACAGCTAAACACCATATTAAAAAGTAAAATTTATAAGCTAAATGAGCAATCTCCTAAGTTTTTGGCACAGCTACATTTGTCATTCGTAACCATAGTTGTTATGCTCTTAGTAAAACTCATTAGCATTAATTGAATAGCCTAAAGAATGATTAAAAAAGTAGCAACAGAAAAGATAACATGTATTTTCGTCAAAAATTTCCCTCTAAAACGTCACTTTTATGCCCTGTCAAGCTGCAGCTGATTTCTACAAAATTGAACATTTCATACACAAAATCAGATCGCTCAGCGTATATTCAATACATTGATGTTACTTACTCTTCTCAAAAGGTGGATCATGCCCCAAAAATTCCTCCACAGTCGAAGGAAACCCAATCTCCCCGAAGGCAGCATCGTTGTCATCATCAGTACCCCAGTCCCTCCCCGCCAACGATACGGCTTTAGCCAGCAGAAGATGAGCGAGTCTCGCTGGTTCTTTCCTTTCCCGCCGGTAATGCACGATCCAACCATCAAGTCGCTGCATTTCTTTCTCGCAATTCGGCCCCTTGAGCCCTACCACTTTTCGGTAAAATCCACCTCCGCTACAGTACGAAGAGCCCAAGCCACCCCCGCAGTCTTCGCCGTCCTCTGATAAGCCTAGAAGACTTATGAGGCCATCAATTTCATCATCTTCTTCTTCATCGTTGATGTCGTCCTGCACTGCCTCTGGAGGAGTCAGATCGTGTGCTTTTTCAGGCGGGATTGAGAGGAACTCCGGCGCTGGGTCGCTGCTTTCGTCGAGGGTGGAAGGTTTGAAGGAGGCGGGTTGGGGTTTGGAGGACGACAGGTAGAGAGGAGAGCTGAAGGATACCTGCGATGGTGGCGAAATGAGTTCCTTCTCGGAAGCCAATCTCTTCTCAACCTGCAAGCGTTGGGGTAGAAGAAGCATTAAAGTGTTTTAGATTAGCATTGCGGAATGAAGATTGAAGAATAAGGCGGTAATTATTGCCTGATTCAGCGAGGAGAAGAAGCGGTCGTGAGGTGAGAAGGGCCGCATCGAAACCGGTCACGCAGTTCGCAAGTTTGGGCGGGGGAGGAAGTACTGAAGTACATGGTAAAAGTCGATTTCAGGGCTTCTTATTATTTTAGTATTATTTTTCAGGCTGATTACATGCGTAGCACCTAAGACAATGCTATTTAGAAATCTAGCATTCTCTTTCATTCATTTATCAAATTCTCAATTGATAATAAAAATTCATTATAAAATTTCAATCCATATTTTTCATGTTTATCAAATTCTCAATGTTTTGATCTTGACACGTGTAAATACATTAGTTCGATGGTTTAAAAATATCTCATGGGTGCTAGATTTTATAAATAGTAATGTTTCAGATGCTATGTATGTATTATCCCTAATTTTATATATGTTTTATTTTTCTTGATGCGTGTCTAATGTTTGTAATAAAATAGCATCCTGACGTACCACAAGATCATGCACACACACATAAAAGAAAAGTAGTTGGGGAGTCACCATGATTTTTAAGTGGAATATCTTATAAATGGAAATAACTCACAGGGCCTGGCATAGTTAAAGAAATTCACTGTATAATTGTGAGTGTATATGCTCACTCATCTCTTAAATTAGGGAAGATGAAATCATTATGTTGATGTACAATAGAAGTAAAACAATTATAGTTGTAATAGACTGCAAATGTTGTGGTTGATTGCTTTGAAGGCAGTAGATTGTCATGAATGTTGTAGATGGTAGTTGTACTGTCAGTTGATCGTAAATGTCATAGTTGAAAGTTATGATAGCACTTGGTCATGTCGAACGTAAATGGCTGCTCTAGAAGCGTCGATTGGCCATATAGGTTGTAGTAAGTAGTTGCATGAGCTGTGAGCCACATAGGCCTTAGTGGGTTACATAAGTCGTCATGGTGAGCCGCAACAATGTCTGTAGACCACAGAAGCCTGGAGTAGGAGATGCAATAATGTTCGTATTCAAGGAATGTCATTGCATTATATTTGGGATGCACGTTGCACTATATTCAAAGTGCATTCTCGTAGTGTATTTGAGGTTAGTTGTTGTATCGTATGTTTAGCGTGTTGTTGCATCAGATTTGATACACGTCATTGTAATGTGTTCGGGTGTATTCAAAGCGTATTGTTGCACTATATTTGATGTGCATTATTACTCCACTTTTGGGGTGCGTCTCTGCACCATCTTCAAGGTGTGTTACACTATCTTTGGAGTTTGTCATACCATATTTAGGGGCTTTGTTGCATTGTATTCGGGGCTCATTTTTGCTTCATCTTTGGTTACTTAGTTGCACCTTCTTCGAGTTGCATCATTGCATCACCTTTGAGGTGTATTTCATAATATTCTGGACAATTCATTGATCCAGAAGGTGTTTGTTGCTCCGCAGCATATGCTAAGGGGCTTCGCTGAAATGTGTAGGGCGCAACCAATGGTGGTCAATAGAGATAAGTGAGAGGTGTTCAATGGTCGGTGGATGTTAGAGTGGGAAGTATTTATCAGTTCTTCATGTCAAAACATCGTTGGAATTCCACTCATTCATCTCCCCATCCATCTCTAGCTCTTCTCCTTCAGCAACCACCCCCCCTAATTGTCATGATGGGGCCACAGAGTTTGGGAGTGGCATCTCCTGTAAAGAAGGTAGGAATCCGGACCACTTCATCGGATGGCCTAGAGTAATTTCCTTGATCAGATGACTTTATGTAGACATTTTAGTGTCCTAATGATGATAGAATTGAATGATCTTTGGCTCATTGGAATCTTCTTATTGAGGTGTGATTTGTAGAAAAGTATGCTTAATTTCATTTATATTTTGCACAATTTTATGAAAGAAATTGCAATTTTAAAAAGGGTATTTTATGTTTTTCTTGCAAATAAAACAGGTAGTAAAAGTGGAACGAAGTAGAGAAGAAATGAACAGAAACGAAGCTCATATGAATCATTTGGAGATCCAAGAGACCGGGGCCTATGCGTCAACCATTGGCCGCCAAGGTGCTCATACCAAGCACCTTAGCACCACTTACTTGGGTGCCTAGGCGTCAGTATACAGTCGAGCAGACCTGACGCCTAGGCGCTAGTCTTGTGGCACCTAGGCGCAATAGTTGTTGGGCAGTTTTTCAACAGTTTCTCCTCATGATGTTGGGTGTTATTTGATAGATTAAAAGAAGTTCTTGAGGGAGAATTAGGGGGTATTTTTTTGTGGAGAAGAATGAGAAAAAGGTAGGGTTTGCTGTAGAGGAAAATTAGGATTTTACTTACGAGGTTGGTGAGATTTGAGAGGTGTATTGTCAGGAGAATATTCAACGTAACGACAAGGGTCTAGGAGATCCTAGGAGAGCATTTTCAGAGAATTGTAAAGAGGAATAAGCTAAGTATTATGCATTTCTTTTATTTTACTATTGTAAAACACAATTACCAATTGGATTTACTTTCTGTTAAAGACGATGAATTTACTTTGTGTTAAAGTTGTTTTGTGGTGTTTTCTCCATGCTTTGTGAGTATTCTTTTCACCTTTCTCTTGCAATGATTATGTTAGTTGTGGAGGAATAGTAGAATGCTTTTAAAGTTGGTTTTCAATATTTAATTTGATGATTATTCTTCAATGATTCATTTACTTTTCATTCTAATCAAGTGGTTAGTTCAAATATGTTGTGATCCATAATGACTCAGGAAAATTATTGAAGAATGATTAGAATATTCACCTTGAATTTTAGGGCATGAAACAAAAGTAAACTATAGAGAGATGCAAATAGATAGAGAAATAATATTTGATGGTTTCAAATTTTAAGGAATTAAAACCAATTTAACCAGACTTCCATATGTACTCGTAAGAGGGTAAAGAAGAGAGTTGCTCCTATTTATCACTAGCCACAATTACAATTTAAAGTATTCATTTTCCTACACACTACTTATATCATTGCTCCCAGATTACAATTTGTCACTAGCCACAATTGAAAAACCTAACGGAAACTCTGTCCAATTGCTCCCAGAGCCTCTCCCAGCATTCCTAAGTTCAATCTAACATTCTTCAACCACTCATTCCCTCTACTCGAGCCCAATTTAACCATTGATATCCAGGGCATTTTAGGGCCTTGTAATCAAACTCTTCAAAACTCCAAATTAATCATTCCACAAGCTTCCTCAGACATCAAAACCACTTCCCTTATTAAAAGCCCCCTCTCTCGAGCACTCTATCATAGTTCTAGACCAAACCCGAGTCAACCTCTGATCAAAATGATACATAGACCTTACCTCAGCTCCAACCAACACTTGGAGGACGTTCGTGGACTCAAGGCAAACCTCAGGTACAAACCCAATCGAGGCCTCACCTCTTGGGCTAAGGTATAACTCAAAATTCCTAAATTTTGTTTCGATTTGGATCTTTGTGAAGAGAATTTGTATTTTATACGTATTTAACCATATGGATAGGTTCGTCTCACTTAGATGAAGGTGTAGGAACAAACTTCATGCGATGTGGTTGAGAATCAAGCGAGATATTAGGGAGTTAGAACATGGACGGTTCTCGGTTTAGGGTGATCTGGGACGATGAATGGATGTCATATATTTCCACGTTAATTAAATGAACAGACCAGATCGTGTCAGACGAGAAGATGTTAAGTGAACCGCAGGCTTGCGTGCTAGCTGAGATGTAAAGTACAACAAATTAGAGGGCGACGCGTGGTCATTCGATGACACTGAGGTTGTGCCGGTCAAAAGCCGTAATTTTTATGATATTTGGTATTGTTTTAATTAAGAAAATGATAAAAAGATAAAATAAAGGTCAGAAAATATAAAATCATGTTTGGTAGGTTTGTTGTGGTCAGAGGACCTTAGAAAAAATAAAAGTGAGGTTAAAAAATATTGAATTTATTTTTCTTATTTAAAATTAATAAAAATTAATAAAAATTAGAAAAAAATGTAAAATAATTCAAATAATCACTAATATGGGCCAAATTGTAGGCAATCACATTAGAAGGCTTTATGAAAATTTGAAGGTCAAAAAAATTATTTTTAATATAGAATCTATTTTCTAAGTAAATAATAATTTTGTCTTAAAATAGTTATAATAAATAAAAGAAAAACCATAAAATTATGAAAATTCCTTTGGAGTGTTCCTTGAGGGCAGAGGAACTTAAGCAAAATAAAATTGAAGTTAAATTAAAATTTTTTATTTTTAAGCTATTTTCTAATTTTGAAATAATTAAAAATATAAAAGAGATACCAAAAATATGAAAATACTCCAAATTATCCTAAATATCATCCTAACTACATAGAATAACTTAAAGATGTGTTTGTAAATTTTTGAAGGTGTAAAAAGTTTTTTAGTTGGTTAAATTATATTATGAAAAATTTAAAAATGAGTTTTTGAAAAAAAAATATAATATTTATTTATTTTTTCATTAAAATTAATTAAAAATTGTAAAAAGTAAAGTATAATTAAAAAATTCACCAAAATTGTCTCTAATGGTTTTCTGATCTGGGTGAATCTTCAATAATTTTCCTAAGGGCAGAAGGATTTCTTAGTTGGTTAAATTAATTAACATTGAAAATCTCTATTTTCGGACTAAAATAATTTTTAAAAATTAAATAAAATTTTAAAAAATATAAACTCTCCTCTGTTAATTTAATTAACCCATATGTAGGGTAGCAACAAAGTTTCAATGTCATTTGAGTTAAATTTGAGAGAATTATGAAGTGGAGGGTCTTAAGGGCAAAATGATAATTATGGAATTTCGAGCTTTAATTAAAATTTAGGTCAAACTAGAGGGTAAGTGGGTGATATTGAACATAATTAACTCTCTGAAATGATTAAAACATAAAGGTTAAAAGAAATCAATTCATGTTATTTTATATGAAAGGGTAAAAGTGTAATTTTCCAAATTATTGTGGTTTGGAAGTCAATTAACTTGGATGATCCTAATGTGAAGGAGTTGATCTAAGAAGATGATAACCCATTAGTTTGAAGCCCTAAATCAATGGTCAAACGATAATACAATCTCTTAATAAGAGTCATGTTCATCTCATTCGACATTTTTCAAAATTATAAATCTACC